GACCCCCTGTGCTCCCTCCCACTCTCCTAATCTTGACCTCCAGCTTCCAGCCAACATCCTTTCTGATCTTCCTTCTGACTCTTTTTTTTCCTTTTTGACTCTTACTGACTCGACCGACCCCCTTAATCCTACACGCCCACCCAACTTCTGACCTCCAATCGGACTGCTCCTGCCACTGACCTCTGACCTTGGACCCCTACTTCCAACACTGAAGTTCAGGCACTCCAATCTGCCCTGATATTTTGACTCTTGGCACCTGACCTTCGACTCCAAAGTTTTTAGTTTGCCACTGACACCGACTTCTGACCCTGACCATGGTCCCCCGGCGACTGTCATCCCTTTGCCCCCCGACCCCCACCCCAGGTGTACGTTCGAAGCACAGACTTTGACCGGACGCTGGAGAGCGCGCAGGCCAACCTCGCTGGGCTGTTCCCCGAGGCCGCGCCGGGGCGCCCCGAGGCCGCCTGGAGGCCCATCCCTGTACACACGGTGCCTGTCACTGAGGACAAGGTCAGGGGACTGGATAGGGCGGGGGGTGGGAGGGACGGAGAGAGGCCGAGACCCCAAGGAGCGGGCCAGAGGCTCGGAGACGCGGCGCTGGGCTTGGTGGGGCAGCTCCCGGGAGCGAGGCTGTCCCCCGGGGCAGAGTGGCCCCGGGGGGGTGAGCCACTGCCCCGTGCTGCTCAGCCAGGTCTGGGACAGACGGGGCCGCCCAGCCCCGACGCTCCCACTCCCAGTCGTGCTGCTGTCCTCTCTGAGCCTCAGTTTCCCCCAGCTGCTGAGGTTCCCCACGCGCAGTTGTCCCCGATACCGTGAGCTGCTGCGCGAGGCCACAGAGGCTGCCGAGTACCAGATGGCCCTGGAGGGGTGGACGGTGAGCCGAGCGGCCGGACGGGGCGGGGCGGGGCCGGGGCGGTGGGGGTCCGCCGAACTCACCTGGCCCGGTCCGTCCAGGACTTCCTGGCTCACCTGGAGAACTGCACGGGGCTGTCGCTGGTCGGGGAGCCCCTCCGCCGGGCGTGGAAGGTTCTGGACACGCTGATGTGCCAGGTCAGCCTCTACCCCGCCTACCCTGCCACGTGGTTTCAGGGCACCTGTATTCAAACCCCGCTTCGCTGCTCAACACCCGTGTTCCCGCGGGCAGGTCACTTGACCCTTGGTGCCTCCGGTTCCCCATGGGCACAAAGGGCCTGGTGACCCGGGGAGGAACGGCCCCTGGAGTTGCTGAGAGGAGTGAAATGGGTTAGTCCACGCTGCGTGCGTAGGACAGCGCCTGGCCGGCACTTGGGCTCCAGGCTGTGTGTGTGTGCGGTTTCTCCTTTGTGGACTTATTGCCCAAGAAGCTCCCTGCCCTGGGCAGCAGGGGCTGACCCGAAATGCGGTACTCCTCGCGGGCTTGGGCACTCCCAGTCACGGGACTGCCCTTAGTTGCACGGTAGGACCAGCGACGTGTATGCCTCAGGGGTACCCCGGGCCCTGCTGAGTGTTACGAGGCACGTGGTGTTGGCACTACGCGACGAGGCCAAAATCCCAAACGTCCGAACTCGGAAACCTCTGGGCACTAGGGTCCAGATAAGGGCTCCTGGACTGGCAGCAACGGCGATTGCTAATAACGGTTGCCCCAGCCACAACTTCCAGGCCAGACCCAGCCCATGAGAGGGCAGATGGGAAGGGGGCGGGGAGAGAGGATCGCAGGGAAGGGAGACAAGCGCAGACAAGCATTGGGAGGACAGAACACCCCAGTCATGTTGTCCCCTCACCCTGTCTCTCCCCAGAGAGCCCACGGTCTCTCCCTCCCACCCTGGGCCACGCCGGACGTCCTGCAGACGCTAGCCCAGATCTCCGCTTTGGACATTGGAGCCCACGTGGGCCCACCCCGGGCAGCAGAGAAGGCCCAGCTGACAGGGGGTGAGGTGTGGGGCTGGGGGGCGGGGAGGCCGGGCGCCTCCCTCTAGGGGTTCTCAGTGCCCTGGTTTTGCACCCTCAGGGATCCTGCTGGATGCCATCCTTGCTAACTTCTCCCGGGTCCAGCGCCTGGGGCTGCCCCTCAAGCTGGTCATGTACTCGGCTGTGAGTCTTTGGGATGGGAGGCAGCAAAGGCCACGTGGGCACAGGGATGAGGGGCAGCGTGGAGGTTGGGGCGAGGAAGAGCCGGCGGTCTCGCCAGACCCCCAGCCCACTGGTTTGGGGCGCAGATCTGCAAACCATCCTCTTGGGCCCTCTGGAAGGAGGGAGGAGGTGGCGCTCTGAGAGAAGGGATTTAGCTCATCTGGAAGGGCAGGCCGTTTCCTCGGGCTCTGCAATCATGCAATCGCTTTGCGTCCATTCGACCAATCTTTACTGAATGATTAGCTGTAACTGGCGGGGCCGCCTCCCGGGTGAGCGGGTGTGGGCGGGCCGCGCCCGGGAGGCTGCGGGAGGCACGAGGCTGGCGCTGGGGCGAAGAGGGCACCGGGCGAGGAGCCGGCTCAGCTCCGATCCGCCGGCAGCACGACAGCACCCTGCTGGCCCTCCAGGGCGCTCTGGGCCTCTACGACGGCCACACGCCGCCCTACGCCGCCTGCCTCGGCTTCGAGTTCCGGAGGCGCCTCGGGGACCCGGACGGGGACGCGGGGTGAGGAGCGGTGGCCCCGGGCCTGGGCGGGGCGGGCCTCTCTGGCGGGAGGCGGGAGGGGGAGCCGGCGCGGGGCGCAGCCCAGGCGCGCGCCTGGGGCGGGAGCCGCCCTGAGACGCCGCGCGGAGCTCGGCAGGTGGGAGTCCGGCTCCCAGCTCTCCTTGCGGACGCTCTTCTGGGGATCGAAGGTCGGCGGCAGGGAGGTGGGCAGAGCCCGCGAGCCGTCGCCTCCTGTGCCCCTGCAGGAACGTCACCGTCTCCCTCTTCTACCGCAACGACTCCGCCGGCCCGCCCTTGAGCCTCAGTCTCCCCGGGTGCCCGGCGCCCTGCCCGCTGGGCCTCTTCCGCCAGCTGACCGCCCCGGCCCGGCCCCCGGCTCGCGGGGTCCCCTGCCACGGCGCCCACGAGCCTGCCGCTTCCACGGGTGAGGCCTCGGCGTTGGGTGGGGGGCTCGGAGGGGGTAAGTCCCGAGGTTGACCCCTCTCCTTCTCCCCGCAGCCGCCGCGGTGCCCCTGTTGGCCGGGGCCGTGGCCGTGCTGGCGGCTCTCAGCGCGGGGCTGGGCCTTCTGGCTTGGAGGCCGGGCTGCCTGCGGGCCTGGGGAGACCCCGTGTGAGCCGCCGAGCCGGGCACCCCTTCCCCGCCGCTGCCCCCGAATCCCAACACGTCTGCTCACCCGCTGCGCTGGCTCCCGTGACTCACTCTGTCCACCTGCGCGCGTGGGGGGCGCCCGGGGCTCCCGGCCGGAAGCCGCGAGCGGTTTCTGTGGGAGCGTGCCCTTGTGGGCACCCGCGGGCTCGTGCGTGCACGTGGCCTGTGCACACACACGCGTGGGGCTCGAGGGTAGGCAGTGGTGTGAACGTTCCTGCACTTCGGACGGATGTGTGCAGAGTGGCTGCGTGTGTAGGTGCCTGTGAGGGGCACGTGTGTGGACATATTTCCCTCTACGTGAGGCAGCAGGTGGTGAGGCCCTGCAGGGCCCTGTTATTTGCGGGTACAGCGCGTGTGAGGTGTGTGGCCCGCGTGCACGTGACCCCCGACAAAAGCTGCGCGCGCTCCGTGAGCCGCTCCGCGGGCCACGCGCTGTTCTGGCTCAGCGCCTTAGAGCGGAGCGGCACTAGTAGGGGGGTGGCGGCCAAGCCTGCCTTGTGCAGGGAGAGTTGGAAGCCTGGCTGGCCCCCCACTGTGAGATCCCCGCAAGCGACTGGCCTCTCAGGGCCCCCCTGCTCACTGGGCAGAGCCACGACGCAGAGCCACGGGGCCGCAAGGCCCCTGAAATCAAGCTCCAGGGACTGGCAAAGATGCGGCCGGTGCCCCTCGCTCCGGGATGCCACCACCTGGCCGTTTAAGTAAAATGTAAAATTCGGGCCTCAATCACTCCGGCCACATTTCAATTGCTCGTCAGCCAATTGCAAACCGGCTGGCTTAAAGCTTCGGCACACCCAAAACAGCGGGCCCCGCGGGGCCCGCGGTGTCCCCGGGCACGGCCCGGCCAGCTCACGTGCTCCGGCCAGCTCACGTGCTCCTGCGTTCAGCCCTCAGCACTGCCCCCACCCCCACATGCCAGCAGCACCAGGCTCAAGTTGGGGGAAGCCCCCTCCTGGTGTGGCCTTGCCCCACGTGTGGCTCCATCGGGCAAATGTGTGAACATCCCAGGTTAGAACCCAGCGCAGTGGGGGAGCCTGGTGTGCCGTGGGCACTCAGCCGCTTGTGCCCATTACAAGTGGCAGAGCTGGAGGATCAGAGGCAGGGAGGATCGTGGCTAGAAGTCACTCCCAGCTCCCAGGACCCCCAGCCTCCAGTGGGGAAATCCGGGCACAGGCCCCCCAGGACAAAGTGTTGGGGCTTCCGATAAAGCCTCCCCCAGGCCTACCCGGTTCCCAGCGTTCTGGGCAGGGCTTAACCCTGGGCCCCGATAGTAGCCGCGTCAGGAGCCCCCACCCCTGGGGAGCCCTTGGGTGCCCCACCCATCATTGTCCCCGGAGGTGCAGAGCAGCCGCACCACGCAACACACTCTGCTCTTCTTGGTCCTGGGATGAGACCGGGCTTCCTGCTCAGAGACCCAGGGAAGACCCCGCCAGGCTTGGGCAGGTCCCCCTGCTCTGCTGCTGTGAGCTGCTCCCACAGGCCGGGCGACCGGGGGCCACGTGTGCCTTGAGCACAGCCTCCCCACCCCCAGGTATGCTCAGCACCGATGGCCAGGGCCGTCTGTCCTCACCAAGCCCCCAGACACTGACCAGAGACCACACGCTGCTGGAGAAACCGGGTAAGGCTGGCCTGGCCACCCTTGCCCCAAGTGAGCAAAGAGCAAGTCTGCTTTGCAAGGGAAAGATAATACGAGATAGTCTTTTTTTTTTTTTTTAAAGATTTTATTTATCTTTAAGGAGAGGAAGGGAAGGAGAAAGAGGAGGGAAACATCAATGTGCAAGAGATGCATCGATCGGTTGCCTCTCACAGGCCCCCAACTGGGGACCTGGCCTGCAACCCAGGCATGTGCCTGACTAGGAAATCAAACTGCCGACCCTTCGGTTCATAGGTTGGCACTCAATCCACTGAGCCACCGCCGCCAGGGCTACAAAATAACCTTGAGAGAGAGACCATGGCAAGAGAAAAGAGCACCCTTAAAACCAAAGTGCATATATGCTTAAAGTATTAAGTAAAAACAATACATTAAAAAGAAATAAAGAAAAAGCCCTTAGGAAAAAGGGTACAAACTTCATGTTGTGGGCCGCGGGGCCTCCCCGCAGGGCCTGTAGTGCTATGGGGGTCCATGGGACAGAGGGGTGGGTGCCCACCCATCATGCCGTCTGGGCTGCAATGTAAGACGCCTGCTGGGGTCTCTTAAGGAGCCACCGGGCGCCCAGTCAGTTCACTTCCCTCTATCAGCTCCACCTGGTGACAACAGCATGGCTTGGGGCAAGGACAGTCTTCTAGGCTCCTCAGAAACGATGCAGGGGTAGTCTGCCCTTCACAGGCTCAAGGGCAGGTGGGAGGTCCCTCAGCCCACCCCAGGAATGATTGGGGGCTTTGCATCTTGCCTACAAGGACCCGGTCCCCCGGATCTCCAGCATCCGCCTCGCTGGCGGGTTCCTAGTCAGGGCGCACGGGTGGGTCGTCCCCACAGGCCTGGTCAGAGTAGGGGGGCGGTGTGGGCTGCTCCTCCCCCTGCATGTAGGCCGGGTGGCTTTGGCTGCGCTTGGCCTCTTTGATGTACAGCTCCAGGAGGACCTTGGTGGGCTGCTTGTCCACCCTCTCCCTGGGCACGCCGTGGCTGAGGAGCCAGCCCAGGAGGTCCTTGCGCGTTGGGTTGGGTCCCAGCAGGAGCTTGGTGCGGCCTGGCTGGTTGTGGCGCCAGAGCAGGCCAACCTCTGCGACAGCCTGGATCCTCATCACCATCTCCAGCACCGTCACACCATTGACCAGCAGGCTGAGCAGCGTGACCCGCAGCTCAGAGGGTGCGGCCGTCAGCAGGTGCCGCTGCAGGTGGCGTGCAAAGGGCACGTCCTCGGGCGCAGGCCACGGTGCCTGCTCAGATGCGGGGGGCGAGGTGGGCTCTTGGTAGATCCAGTCCAGCATGCCCAGCTCGCGCACCAGCTGGACACCCTCCTCTACGGTGGTCCAGGGCCGGAAGGGCAGCTCGGTACCCTCGAAGTACATGAAGGACTCCCAGCGCTGGCGCCAGGCCTGCAGCAGCCAGGTGAGCAGCGTCTGGCAGCCGCCCCGCAGGCCCTTGCAGTGGTAGTTGAAGGCGGTGTCGCTGGTCAGGTCGCCCAGCAGTGTCAGCTCCCGGGAGTTCAGGGTCAGGGCCGAGCCGCCTTGGTCATACACGCGCAGGATCCAGGAGATTATGAGCTCGTTGGGGTTCTGTTTGAAGCGCCGGGAGATGGCCAGGAGCTCCGTGTACGTGTAGTAACAGTCTCCACGCCCCACCTGGGTAGGTGCCGATGCTCTCTCGGCCATGACCACGGTCACGGCTGTCTTGGAGGGAGCAGCAGGAAGCCCGAGGGGTGCCGCCACGGGAGCTGTGGGCATGGACAGAGGCATGAGGTGGGGGAAAGTTACAGGCCCCAACAGCTCCCCAGAGCCAGGAGCCCTCAGACTCCTGGTGTCAACCGTCCAGGGGGCACAGTGTCCTCACAAGTTGTCAGCACCTAGTGCTGAACGTCATGGGGACCCCCAAGGACAGCATGTCTCCCTGCAACACTCCCACTCCAACCCCACAGCATTAAAGATTCAAGGAACCAAGTGAAGGGGACCCTGTTGAATGGAGTCCTCCTGGTCGCGGACGAAATTAGTCCGGACACATTCTGTATGGAGGAAAGGGGATGGCGATTCTCCCTACTGGAGAATGCCCCAAACCCTTCCCCAAAACAGCTTTTATTGAGATCAATATGTGCAGGGGTATACAGCATGCATGCATAGCTCATCAATCAGTATCAAAAGGCTACAGCTATAGAAAACACACTATTCTATAGATGACAATAGAAGGGACACAAAGATCTGCGTCAGGTCAAGGTATGTTAGACATGCTGACACCACATGGTCATTAAGCCGTGGTTCATAAGTTGAGAGGATCACTCCTTACGTTTTGAAGTTAAACATCTACCTGGTTTATACCATCAGGGCCACAGAAAGCAAAGCAAGCTTCAAAGGGCACAATGCGTTCTTCAGGCCTGATTTCCCACGGGAACCCTTGGTGCTGGCATCGGGTCATGCTGCCTCCTGCTTTCCTGGGTTTCAAGGCCTCGCTTGTGTGGGGCTAGTCTCTGATACCACACAAAGCGGTCCCCAACAGAGCGCCTTTGCACTCTCAGGTCCTCAGCTGGGAAATAGGGACATACCATGCCCAGTTCGCAGGGTTACCGGAAGCAGAATGAAGCAGGGCTTAGGACTGTGCCTGGCTCCAGTAGATAGTCAGCATTTCTTTTATTGTATCAATATCACCATCATCTATACATCTTATTATCTATCAATTTATAACATGAGAAATGTAACACGATTGTTATAGTAAGGCAGTACTTCTGTTCTTACCAAGAGAGGTGGTGGGGCTGCGGACTCCGGGAGGCACCACCTGCAGATGCGAAGCTGTGGGGGAGGGGGAGGTCAGTGGAGCGCAGGGCAACCACGGCCCCCACGCATCGCTCCCCAGAGCCAGGGCCCCTCAGACCCCTGGGTGTCAAAGGTCCCAGGGGGCACCGTGTCCTCAGCGAAGGTCAGAGCCCAGTGCTGGCCATCACGGGGGTCCTGTTGCCCTAGTGCCCCTCCTCATCCAGGTCCCAGAGCCCTTGCCTACAGTCCTAAGGGGATGACACAGACAAGAACCCAGAGACTCAGGCAGGGAAATGACCAAGAGCTGGCCCCTGCGCTGCCAACACGCAGTGCCCACGGCCTGACTTCTGACACTGCCCCTCCCGATCGCCACCTCTCAGTGGCTTAACTCCAGGCATCATTTCTTGTGTGGCCTGCAGCAACCGATCTAAGACCCACCACTGAAAATAAAACTGGATTTGCCCCGCAGACGGGGTGTTGGCAGCATCCAGCGAGATGAAGGGGCGCCTCCATTGGATCAGCTCCGGGGCAGCCCGATGACCGCTCCCCTGCACCTCAGGCCACGTTCCCCACCCTGCTCTCTGAAGCCTTGCTCCGTGCGAGGCCTGCAACGCTATGCCTTGCTCTTTAACTTAGGGAACGCGCTGCACCAGAACCTTTTGTGAACCAGGGACAGGTTATATGCCTGTCATCGGAAGCCAGGGAGGACCCGGTGAGTTAATCCTCAAAAAGTAGTGTGAGCCACTATTTAGCAAGCAGAAATACTTAAACCCAAATTTTGTATAGGAATGCGGTGTCCGAAAGACAAAGACACTATTAAATTTACATAACATTAGAAAGCCCAGTTCCCAGGTGCACTCCCCACACTTCAGAGCCACATATGGCTGGGAGCTACTGAACTGGACACCACAGAACAGAATGTTTTGTCTAAGGCCGTTCTGTTGGACTAGGCTGCCTTAGAAATCAAGACATTCCATGACCCTCTTCCCCAGCCTGCCCTGGACGTCCTGTTCTCTTTGGCCCCTCCCCTTCTCCACACTTTCCCAGAAGAGGACACCTGGGCAAGGAGCGCCAGCCCACCCGAAAGGCAATGAGCGACACAAAGCCCAGGCTCACCAGAGAAAGCAGTTTCTCCTCCCGAAAGGGCCGCTGAGAACCCCAGAGAACACATCTGCCCTCTGCCAGCTGGCGTTCCCACTGCTCCTGCCACCCAAGGCCAAGAGGGAAAGCCCTCAAGGCCTGAGAACACTTGCCTCTTGTTGGTAACAGGTATGGAGGCCCATTTTATGATTTAGGCCTTTGAAACACTTGTGAAACACCTGTCAGATACATTGTGTCCCTTGCACAATAGCTACTGTGTCAATCAAGGGAGCTTTAAGAGCTCTGTTTATATGCACATGACTCTTGGGAAGCTTGGGCAGCTTGGCTGAAAGATACATGGTAGCCAGTCTACCCAACGGCATCGGACAGCGCTAAAGCTGGGAGCCATTCTGCTTCTTCTGCTAAGTCTGAAAATTGGACTTCTGATTAGTCCCCCCATCCCAAATACATGTACATTTCTTGCTTTCAGAGCCTGTATGTTTCGCTCTACTCAACCCTTCACACCCGCCTCCCCCCCAGCTGAGAGAGGACAGGCTCGTCTGCTCTACAGACAGAAACTGAGGCTCAGGAACACAGTCCCTTGTCTGACACCTTCAGACTCACAAATAGCAAAGCTGGTGTTTGTACGTAAATACTGAACATGACTGCTGGCATACAAATTAGGTCCCAAGGATATGCGAAGTCACCCAAAATGTTGATTTTAGACCTGGGTGGGTCAGCAAATGGGAGCAAAGGCACTTACCAAGATGGGGTGGTGGTGGGTGGCCTCTCAGCTTGGAGAGAGAAACCTGTAACACAGGAAGGACGTGGTGAGCGTGGGCAAAGAAACAGTCCGGGGGCCCAGAGAACATCAAAACCAGGGCCCCTCAGACCCCCAGGTGTCAAAGGTCCTGGGGGGCACTGTGTCCTCATGGGTGATTGGAGCCCAGTGCTGAACATCATGGGAGCCCCAAGCTGCTTGCAACCAGGCCCGGAGGCTACTCACCTTTGGGGACAGAGACAATGCTGACAGCTCTCAGAGACTGGGAAGCATTAGGGGTGACAACGGCATTGTCATTAAGTAGAAAATGTTATTTTAGGCACAGAAGTGGTAACTATTTTGGATGAAATAAGAAATTTACTTTCAAAACACTAAGCACAAATAATGCAAACACGGTGGCATGTTAATAACTCTTAAGCTTATGTGTTTCCTGTAATGTTTGAATATTTCAGTAATAAAAAAAAAAACAGGCCTAAAAAAAAAAACCACTGTGGACAATGGTGAAAGAGTGCGTGCCAATCATGAAAGTATGAGAAAAATCTACTTGCGACATGGCAACAGGAGAAACTCAGCTCGAGGGAGTTCCTGCTGGGTGCGGGCAGGGAGACAGAAAATCAGCTCACTGCCCTCGGGCGAGCGCCTCGGGTGGGGGTGGGGTGGCACTGCTCGGCGGCCAGGAGACGGAAGCCCAAGACCTTAAGGATCGATTAGCACATAACTAACATTTAACAAACTCTATTTGGAGTTGACTGTGTCAAAATGATTCCTGACGGTGACCAAAGGCCTCGTTTGCTTTCTCCTCAGAGCATTCCTCTCCGCTTCTCAGAAACAAGTCAGTAATTCACTTAGGAGGCCCCACTCCCTCGTTTTCCTTAGCGACCCCTGGGATCCTAGCCGCACCCCTCCCCGCCATAGCCCCCAGTCTTTGTTCGATGTGGCAAAAAAAATGCCAGCCGCCTGGGATTGAAAACACAGGAACGATGCCCTAAGGGAAGCCCGTGTATCTAGCACCAGCTGAAAAAAATCTCAGAACTCGATGTCACATGCGACCCCCTTCTCACCCCCCAAGAAAGAAAGACAAGATGGCGCGGGTCGGCAACGTGGGCCGCAGATTTGGCGCAGCCGGTCTGCGATGCAGACAAAGGCGGGCTAGCCCCTGTTCACTCCGACGTAAAGAGTCCTCCCCACTGTGAACACCCCAAAGAGCCGCCACCCGCTTCAGACGCCATCGCCCGCCCCACGGGGGAATCCCCCAGCCTCGCCTCTGAGCGCGCTCACGGTTCTTAGGAAAACCGCGATCCCAACATACGACAACGAGGCCACCCGGTCGCAGCCCCGGTCACCTCATTACACGCGCGGCCCACACTCCGAAGCCCCCAAAAGAAACCAGGAATTTAAGAACACCTCACCCGATCCTCGCTTTGTCCAAAGCGTGTGCGGGGTTGCCGCGTGTCCCTTCTTATAACGCGCGCCGCTCGGAAGGCCCCCCGCAAGGCCAGCCTGGGCTCCGCCCCGAGGCATCTAGTATACTCGCCTGTGCCGGAAAGTCCGCTTTGTTGCTTGGGGACGGGACAGTGCCTATACTATTAGAATCTTCCTGACAAGGGCATAAGAAGTTGTCTCTGGAGGCGGAGAATAACGAACAAGGAAATATCGTTGCCTGTTGTCAGGAGCGTCAGGCAATTCTGTGGATGGCCGCATAGGGGGACCGTGAAGAGGAAGGACCCCGGGTGTGGGCGGGGCCAGGAAGTGAAGAAACTGGAGTTGCCAGAGTGGCAACTATGGCTGAAGGGGCGAGGCCGACCCAGATGAGGTCCCCGCCGCAGAGCGGGAGGTGGGGCCAGACCTGAGATTGACGGGGGCGGAGTTCTGGGAAAGCGCAGGGGTGGCTCCGTCCGAGGTTGAGCCGGGACGTCGGGACCGGGTTGTTAGACGTTGGTTCTGGGAGAGGGGGGAGGAGGCTGGGGTCCTGGACTCCCGGGTCCATGGGAGGAGGCGCCGAGAACAGGACCCCTGGGGCTGAGGCAGGACCGGATTTGGGGCTCACTTCCCGGTTTAAATCGTCGAAGACTGGGGGGCTCGGATTCTTGATAGGGTTCGAGATCTAAGGCGTGTCTTTCGACAGGACCGCAAACATTTTTTTCAAAGATAAAAAAATGAAACTTCTTTATACCAAACCCACTCACCAGAGGTCGCCACTGTCACCAGTTTGGTGTGGATTCTTTATAGCTACACACACACACACACACGTATTCCCTTATATGAGTAAAACACATTTTGTTTAGCTAGGTCTCCTGGTCATTTGGGTTTTTTTCTTCCTTCTAGTTGGGAAACTCCTCCCGTGAAGTCTGTCGTCTGAAGTGAAAAGAAAAGACGCAGGCTCCTCTCTTAGGAAAACGAGGCATTTCCTACCCTGTCCTCTGGCGGAGTAAAGCAAAAGCCTCACTGTGACCGCTCACCGCAAGGCGGGGAGGGATCTGGCCCCAGGCTCCTCTGCGCGTGTCTCGTTCTTCTCCCACCCTGGCCCCGGCTACACGAGCACGTTGGATTCCCTGGTCTTCTAGGAACCTGCCATGGCCATTGGTACCTCAAGACCTTTGCATTTGCTGTTCCCTCTGCCTGGAACTCTTTTCCCCAATTTAACCCCAAGGCTCTCTTCCTCTCTTCAGGCAGGATTCTGCTCAGACGTCGCCTTAGCATAGAGCCCCACCCCTTTGCTCTGTATAACAGACCCCTTCCTTCCCAGACTGGTCTCCCTTACCCGCCTTTATTTCTCTTCAAAGCAAGTATCCCCTAACATACCTCACTCTTTGGTTGTGGATATATTATATATACTATACATAATTATATATAATAATATATAACACAATTATTATTATATATTATTATATATTATATTGTATTATATATAATATATAATATATTTGTATATATAAATATATTTAATAATATATAATAATATATCATTGTATTATATATTATTATATATTATACTGTATTATACATAATATATAATTATATAATAGATAAATATATATTTATATATAAATATATAAGTATATATTTAATAATAATATATAATTGTATTATATTAACATATAATACAATTATATTTAATATATATTATTAAAAATACATTTTTTGCTTCTCGATTGAAACGTCCGTTCCATAAAAGCCGGGATTTGGGTCCAGTTTGATCACTGCTATAGATCCAGGGTCTGGCACATGGTTACAGCTCAGTCTATGTTAAAAATGAACAAACCTGAGCTCTGGCCGGGTAGCTCAGTTGGTTAGAGCATCTGTTCCAATACGCCAGAGTTGCAGGTTCGATTCTCAGTCAGGACATACAAGAAGCAACCAAGAATGCATGAATAAGTGGGACAACAAATCAATGTTTCTCTCTCAAATCCATCAATAAAAAATGATTTCAAGGAATAAACAAATGGGAAAGCCTTTTTGTAGGAGACAAGAGGAAGGGTTACTGCAGCAACACGGACAGAGCCTGTACTCTGGATCAGGTGTGACATTAAATGCTGTCTGCATTGAAGTACTATAATTATCCTCATTTTACTGATGAGGACGCTGAGTCTCGGTTGGGTTCAACACCTTGCCACAGGTCACAGAGCTCGTAAGTGGTTGCCCTTAGACTCACAAGCTGATGGCTTAACCACCTAACCAGTATGAGAGGGAGCTACATGGGACTTCCAGGTCCAAGCCCTGCAGGGAACCTCAGGCAACAATATAACTTTGTACTTGAGTTTCAACTCTACCCTGTTCAGTAACTGACTCTCTGTTAGCCCCAAACCATCTGCAAAAGTCTGCTACATACGACAGCCTGAAAAATAAATAAAATAAAATAAAAATTAGGGGAAGAATGGGAAACCATAGAAGGAAACTGAAAAAAGAACAGCCTTGTGTTGGGGAATTTGGGGAAAAGAAAGAGGCGGTAGTGGCAGGTAAGACAGGAGGGGAAGTGTGGGTGCGGCGAGAATTTGCCTTGGGGGGGAGGGCAATTTATTAGGAGGTCTCAAAAGTAAAGGATGGTCCTGGATAGGTGGCTCAGTTGATTAGAGCATCATCCGGATATGCCAAGGTTGTGGGTTTGATCCCTGATCAGGGTAAATACAAGAAGCAACCAATGAATGCATTAATAAGTGGAACAACAAATCTCCCTCCCTCCCACCCTCCTTCCCTTCTTTTCTCTCTCTACAATCAATAAAAATTAAAGAAAAAATTAAAGTAAAGGATGAAGCCCAAAGGGTTTGGGGAGAATCAGCTATTCAATAAACATAGATTGAGCGCCGGCTGTATGCCAGAAACCACTGGCCCCAATTCTTTGCTGACCTTGGGCCTCAAGTCTTTTTCTCTTGCATCTCTTCCCTCATCTCTACCTCTGAGTCCCATCCTTCTGCCTTAGAAGGCTCGAGGGGTGGCCCCAGGGACGGATGGCAATTCCATGAACACTTTCAAGGTACGGAGCTAAAAAGATGTTCTGGGCAAAAATATAGGTTTAAAAATACTGATTAGTAATCTGAGTGGGGGATATTCAGCGGGGACTGAAAAAGGACAAGAATCTTGGTGGGAGCGGGAGCCAGAGAGCAGGGCAGTCAGGCGCCTGGCAGGAAGCTGTGCAAACAAGCAGGCCGGAAGTAGGGTCATTCCCGCATCCTAAGTCCAGATGCCCTGGAGTGCCAGGATGCACCAGAAATTAATGTAGTTCAGGTAGGAGAAGAAACCTGAAGGAGGGGAAGAAAGTAAGGGGTCAGGCGTAGAGCTCGTCAGCCCAACCCTGACCCCAGTCCTCTCCCTGAACCCAATTACACACCTTACCCTGTCCCCAAACCCCATTCCCTGCACTGTCCTTAACCCATGCCCAACCCAACGCCGTCCCAGCCCAGACCTGTCATCATGAAGAAGAAGATGCCCATCCACGCGAGGTAGAAGCTGCGCCCCAGCCTGTAGGTCATGCCTTCCTGCAGGAACTCACGGGCCTGCATCAGGTAGAACAGGACGCCCAGTACCATGCTGGTCCCTGCATGAGCACAGGCATTAGGAGGCGGCGCAGCAGGTATGGGACGACCCCTGCCCACAGGTGTGTGGCTGGCTGGCTCTTGCTCACTCTTTCCCCACTTCCTTTCACCTCCCTGAACCTCTGCTCGCAAGCAGAACAGCTCCCATCAATGTCATGGGAGGTGACACTGGAAATACAAGTCTTGGACTCTAAGCAGGCAGTGGTGGTGTCTAAAACCACAAGCTGTGGGCCCGGCTGATGGGAGCTCTCGTCCTGTCTCCTTCTGCCATCTCTGGGCGGCCACTCTGTCGCTTGAGCCTCCTTCCCTTCCTCTGTGAGGCGGGCAGAATCCCAGGAACCACCTCCTTCGCTCCCAGGAAGAGCTGGCACATTTCCTTCAAGTGGGCCTTCAAGAGTCAGGATCGACTATTATCGTTACATTGGGTCTTTAACTTGGGCCTTCCGAGGGGGTGGATAGGGAATGACATCCTTCTGGATGTTTTTCACTATTTTGAAATGATACGAATTCAAGATGATTTGTGAAGAGGGAATATTTTAGGGGGTTTTTTTTCAGGTAGTGGACAGAGTCCTAGGTGACTTTTTTCTTTATGTTATTGAAAAATAATATAGGAAGTGTTTTCTTATTTAATTAAAAAGGAGAATAGGTGGACATGATTTCCTTATAGAAAAACATCCTAGTTGAGAGGACATAAAGCCGAGGTGGTCTCCACCCTATGGACCTTATATTTAAACACTCAGAAAGAGCTAACGGACAAACCAAACAAATAACAGATGCTAACAAGGAAGCAGGAAGTTGGGTGGTCTCCCTTCTCGGCCTTACTACCATTCTCCAAAGACGTTCTCTTGATGCAACGGAAAGTTGTGGTTAATTACTACAAGCAAAGGCAACGTCCTTCATTTCCCAATTAAAGGGCTCCCCCTACTGCCTCCTTTTCTAGAAAGCGTCGTTTGGCCCACGAGTGGAAAACGGAACTATTCTAATCGGAATATGAGTTTTGAGCTATCTGGGGAGGAGTATGGAGACCAGGACACAAACAATAGCTGCTCTCCAGAACTGACGTTTTCTGACTCAGCTCTCGTGACATCTCCACACGGTAGGAAATTCGCCCCCACCCCCCACCCACCCGACAGGAGAGGAAACTCTGGCCTGGAAAGATTAAGCAGCTTGAACGGGAGCGCAGGGCGGTGGGGAGACAGGGTTTGGGACGGGGCGGGGACTGGAAATGGCAGTGGGTACTGGGTGGAGACTGCAGCCTGAGTGATAAGACTGGAAAGTGCCCTGGCTGCTGTGGCTCAGCGCATTGAGCGCCGGCCTGCAAACCAAAGGGTCGCTGGTTCAAATCCCAGTCAGGGCACATGCCTGGGTTGCGGTCCCCCATTGGGGATGTATGAGAGGCAACCACACATTGATGTTTCTTTCTCTCTCTCCCTCCTTTCCCCTCTCTCTAAAAATAACATA